TGTGATTAAGATTTCGCAATTAATCGGTGATGGCGTTTTGGATATAAATGATGATGATGAAGAAGAAGAGAAGCCTTCGGACGGTGGAAACGAAACGAAATGAATTTCTTTCTTTCAATTATTGAAAGCGTAATGGAATTACTACGTATTGTGAAGGTGGACGAGAGGTGAGTCGTTGTGTTGTGTGTGGAGGGAGAGAGGTGAAGGGCGAGAAAGGGCGGCCCTGTCAGTTCGGCTTGACAGAGTGATACATCTCGTGACCTGCATTATATTCCGTTCCATGCGGTCCGCGGATGAGATGAGATGAGATGGTAGTGAATCCCTCTCGCACAGCATCCAACAACATATGCATCACATGTACGTGTATATGAAAAGGCATAGCACGGAATTATTGTTGTGGTGGTGGTGGTAGTAGTATTGCTCTTGCATCGAAAAATCCCATTCCGTATCTCGTTCAATCTGTTCTGTGCACTCGCAACAACACGCATCATATGTGTTTCAGACGTGGAACAGAGATTTCATCCGTAATGAAAATTCCTCTTCAGACGTCCATCTTCGTCCCGAGTTGCGGCTCATCCTACCCTCCTCCTCCTCCTCCTCGGGATCCCCTTCGATCCGCGGCAGAGATTGATGCTTTTCCACTTTAATACACTCACTCAAAACCAACAACGAGGCTGCTGCCTGCCTCCCTGCAAAAACCCTCATCCTGCCGTCATCCTTCGGGCTAGATCAGACCGCATGAATCAATTTTCTTTGCAAGGAGATATATGGCCACGAGAGCAGTACACAACAACAGCCTTGTTCCCATTTCATGTCATGAACTAAATTCAATTTCATTTTGCTTGCGTTCGCCTTCTTTCATATTTATATTGTATACTTAGATAAAAAGCTCTTCCACTAATATTATTAGTTTCCTTTATAACCATCCACACAGACATAACCATACAACACATATTGCAACTTAATTAATTAACTTCAGTTTGTTCCAGCATAATTTATCGAAGTTTTAAACATGTTACTTTAGGTTGTGTTATGTTAGTTTAGGTAAATTTAGTTTATGCAGGACTAAGTTTTCTTTAGGTTAGTTTGGATTAGGTTCATTTACCTTATGTTATACTAGGTTATATAAAGTTAGATTTTATTTGCTTAATTATTAGAATAATTACAATGATTTGTGTTAATTGATGCAAAAAATAAAGTTTTATTTATAAATTGTAAAACTTGAAAAAAAAAATAGTAAAATATTCAAATTGAATCTGAAAAATGAGAGAAAAACAAACGAGAGCTTCTTCAATTAAAGAACATACTTGATTATCGATTTCATATTGCTTGCGTTTGCCTTCTTTCACATTTATATTGTATACTTAGATAAAAAGCTCTTCCACTAATACTGTTAGTTTTCTTTATAACCATCCACACAGACATAACCAGACAACACATATTACAACTTAATTGATAAACTTCAGTTTGCTTAATTAAATATAAATGAGTTTCTAAGATTATGTTCCAGCATAATTTATCGAAGCTTTTACATGTTACTTTAGGTTGTGTTATGTTAGTTTAGGTTAGATTATAGCTTGTTAGTTTAGGTAAATTTAGTTTATGCAGGACTAAGTTTTCTTCAGGTTAGTTTGGATTAAGTTCATTTACCTTATGTTAGACTAAGATAAGTTAAGTTCGGTTAATTTAGCTTATGTTAAACTAGGTTATATCAAGTTAGATTTTATTTGCTTAATTATTAGAATAATTACAATGATTTGTGTTAATTGATGCAAAAATTAAAGTTTTATTTATAAATTGTAAAACTTGAAAAAAAAAATAGTATAATATTCAAATTGAATCTGAAAAATGAGAGTTTCTTCAATTAAAGAACATACTTGATTATCGACTTCATTTCTCTATATGGAAATTAGATATTGCTTTACTTTGAAACTAAACAAATGATACCTTCATTCACACTTGATTATAGCTATAATTTCTTTTCTTTGAACATTTATTGCAATAATTTAACAGAATTGAAGCAACAAATTATATTTTTTTCTATGTAATTTTTAAAGGTTTAATCGTAGAATACAAGAAGACCTGTTGATTTGTTCAAATTCTTTGTGCATTTGTTAGTGAATGTAATTAAGGTAAAGCTGGATGATTAGTCGACGTGTTTTGGAATACATTACGCAAGGTGTAATAATATAATAACAATAATGATAATAAGGATTTCACAACGGTGATGACGAAATGATATCGTTACAGCCGGAAATGTAAATGAACGATGATACGCCTCTCCTTTTCTCATTCCTAATTCCCTTCTTCTCCTTTCACATAATTCTCATCGTTATCCTTTCTCATCTCTCTCTCTCTTTCTCTCACACACACACACTCTTTGTCCGTGCAACTCTCCACATTCGTATTATTCCGAAATACTCTCCTTTTGTTGTCCATCTCTTCTCCGACCTGCTGCTCGCTGCAACTTGCACATGCCACGTCGACTCCACCAGTTCAGTCTTTCCTTTCTTTTCTCTCTCTCTCTCTCTCACTTCTTTTTTCTTCTCTCGTTGTTGCGTTGCACCGTTGAATGGGAATTAATTTAATAAAAATAAATACGTGTGGATTTTTTAATGAATGTGTGTTGTGTATTCTAATAGGGCAAGAATGGCGCGAGTGAATGAGTTCTCTCTTTTCCTCTCCTCTCTTTTTTTTATTATTGTTATTATTATTATTATTATTATTTTTCAGAGTCCGCCTGACTGGCTACCGACTAAGTAGCAGGTTTGGGGCCATTTGCTGACGTGACCAGGCACTTTCCATTGCCCATAATGACACCTCCACGACCGTATCATGAGCGACTCACACAAAACACATCCATCATCGAATCCCCAAATTTTTCATTCGCATTCAACTTCTTGAACCTTCTGCACCCTTCTGGTCTCGCTCCACGAATCTTACACAAAAAAATAGAATGTTTCTGTCTCTCTCGCAACAAGCAGACAATACATTTTTTTTTATAAATTACGTAATACCATTCCAATATGTGTATATGATAATTATAGTTTTATTTGTTTCTGTTCTAACTGGTCATTTCTTTGCAGAGGACGAGGCGAGACTGGTCGAGATGGAACGAACGAGAAACAAAAGCGGAGATCTTCTTCTGGTAAGTATACGGATTGATTCGAGGTTACCATCGAGATCCCAATTTATCTGTCATGGAAACCAAACGGAGCCAAATTCCGAGTTTAAATTATATCATTATCTGATCAACTATAGACAAAAAAAAACGTTATTTTAATGATGAGAAATATAAATTAATTGCAGTTTTTAACGAATCGTTATATTTCTTATATAATTTATAATTCGTTCAACTTTGAAGCTATGTAACTTTTAAATAATTAATTCGTTAGATTTAAAATTACAACAATAATTTACATATTAATTAATGAATTTTATTGACATTAATTTCATTCTCTCTCAATAATGATTTTGTTTCTATTTGTGACAAATCAAAGTGTATTTTCTTTGGTAGCAGATGGACTTTTTGACTGTCTTTTTATAACAGATGGCGTTGAATTGTTTTAGAAACTTTGAATTGATTTCATTCTCTCGGATGATTTTGTTTTTTGTGACAAATGACTTTTTGACTATCTTTTATAACGCCATCTTTTGGTTCATTATAGAAACTATGAATTGATTTCGTGTTATCAATGATGAATCTAGTGAAACCTAATAAGATACTATTACTATTATTAAATATAGTGGCCTTGTGTGTAACTATAGACAAAACGCGTTATTTTAATGATGAGAAATATAAATTAATTGCAGTTTTTAACGAATCGATATATTTCTTATATAATTTATGTAACTTTTAAATAATTAATTTGTTAGACACAGCGAAATATTTTTATTGATTTAACATTATCAAATTCATAATTACAACAATAATATACATATTAAATAATGAATTTTATTGACATTACAAAATTTATTACTTTGGATCGATGTTAAAGGAAAATAATGGTCATAATTTGGTCGATTTGACAACTTTCCAATCATGATACAGACGACCATATGATCATGACAGTTTGACGTTATCCTTATGACTTTTATAACGCCCTCTTCTGATTTATTTTAGCAACTTTGAATTAATTTCATTCTCTCTCTATAATGATTTTGTTTCTATTTGTGACAAATCAAAGTGTATTTTCTTTGGTAGCAGATGCACTTTTCTTCAAAGACAGTCATTTTTATAACGCCATCTTTTGAGTTATTTTAGAAATTTTGAATTGATTTTTTTCTCTCAGATTATTTTGACAAATCAAAAAACATTTTCATTGGTAGAAGTTCTATATACAAATGACTTTTTGACTGTCTTTTATAGCGCCATCTTTTGGTTCATTATAGAAACTATGAATTAATTTCATTTTCTCTCTATAATGATTTTGTTTCTTTTTGTGACAAATCAAAGTGTATTTTCTTTGGTAGCAGATGGACTCTTTGACTGTATTTTTATAACAGATGACGTTGAATTGTTTTAGAAACTTTGAATTGATTTCATTCTCTCTGATGATTTTGTTTTTTGTGACAATTGACATTTTGACTATCTTTTGGTTTATTATAGAAACTATGAATTGATTTCGTGTTATCAATGATGAATCTAGTGAAACCTAATAAGATACTATTACTATTATTAAATATAGTGGCCTTGTTTGTAATTGCTTTATTTGTTTCATCTGTTTCGTGTTGGGTCGATGGGGAAGAATTTCAATAGGCGAGGAGAAGAGAGGTCGTCGGTTCGAAGGGATTAGTATGTGTGTGCGAATGTGTGCACACTTGGTAGTTATTAAGTTAGAGTTGTTGGGCGCCGAAAGGAGGATTAAATTGAGGAGATAAAATCCAATATGTGCTGCGGAGGCCCCGAGGAATAGCGAGAATAGAGAGGAAAAGGGTTCAGCGACGGCCAGATATTAGCAAACAAATCCTAAACGCCGCCCTCAATGTTTACATTACGTCTACATGCATTTCAGCAGCATCTCCAGAAAGTCCTCGTACTTCAGCTGAATCTCGCCCGTGTAATTGGCGTCGCGCTGCTTGAATTCTTCAGTGTACTTCTGGATTTGAATGCAGGTGACGATGAATTGGTCCAAAGCGATTTTGTCCTTGGTCGGATCCGCTCTCTTCATCAGGAACCGTACGAAATCCGGACTGAAGTTGATGTCCATATGTTTGAGGGCTCCGGCGAATTCCTCTTCATCTAAAAATCCGGATCTCTGGTAATCGAAGCTGTGGAACGCGCTGACCCACTGCTTGATGAAGTAGTACAGCTGCTCGAACTCCTTGATGTCAAGACCGCCGCGTTTGTCGAGATCGAAGAGGCGCACGATGAATTTGCAGGCGCCGTCTGAGAAGTGCTTTCCCTGGAACACCTCGAAAGCGGTCTGCAGCTCCTTCGGCGATATCTTTCCGTCACGTTTCGACTCGCTCGATTGGAACCATTTCTGCACCTCGGAGAAGACCGGTGGCGGTTTCTCGGCGTTCGTCTTCGTCGTCTCGGATGCCTGATCCTTCTGGTTCATGATGTCTTTCTTTGCACTGGGAATTTCGAACTGTCACGAAAAACTCTTGACACTCTTGACTTTTTTTTTGGCGCACTTTGATTTATCGTTTCGCCTCGTATCTGGCGCTTTATTATTCCGATGTTGGCATTTGTGCTTAGTCACCGAAACCATAAATGAAAACATCATCTCTTCTAGGTACAACACACACACACGCACTCAACTATACGTTCGCACTACTTCCACCTTCATCAAACCTTTTCACCTTCTCTCTTTCTCTACGTTCTTCACGTGCACACCACACCAGACAGATACGCCTCGTTTCGTGACGCTTTTGACGCAAAAGCCACACGATGATGGATTATCTACACACGCTCATAACATTATACAAACTCTCCTCATCTCTTCGTCCATTCCACTCGTGCATCCATCCACCTATTCTCATACATATTTAATAGGCCACGAATATTGTTTTTAATTAGCATTTTGTTCGATCATGCTCACGCTGTAGAAAACTCTTTTAAACGGCTTCATTAAAGCCCTGGAACCTTTACAAAGCTCGACGAAGAAATCGAACCGCGCGGAATTGAATTGATCAATCAGTTTATTTCTTATTTTTTTTTTTGTATCTCTTCGTTTCTTCAGTTCAAGAGACTCGACTCGACGAACTCAATCCACCAATTAATACGTCCTCACCAAAACGGAAAAGAATAAAAAAAAAACGACGACGACTCCTGTTTATTTTGATTGTTGCTCAGGCGAATTCCCACGAATCAACGACTGCATCTGTCGCAATTGATGAGCGACTCTCTTCTTTTCGGACGGAGTTTGTGTTGTTGTTGTTGTTGTTTTCGGACCATTCTTCGACGATTTCATCACGCTCTTTGTATGCATATTTATTCTCAGTCGCTCCTCACAATTGCCACCGAATTCAGATTCATTTACGGTAATCCTAACGTCTCAGCCAAACGAGAAATCAATTTGTATTTCGTATGAAAGAATACACTTCTCTCTCGACGATCATTAAAACTTTTTCGAAACTCGAACCTATTTCTTTTCATTTTTATTTTTAATTGCCTATCCAATTACCACACATATATTTTTGTTTCTTTTCTATTGTTAACTACCGTATAATTTTTAATTCATATTATGTAAAGACTCGTTGACCAAATGACGATGGATCAAATCAATACAATTTTTTTTCTTTATTAGTTTCGTTAATGATTACTAAAGAATTATCTATATTTGTTAATAAGTATCTACGTTTTTAACAGTTTTATTGTGAGAACGACTATTTGAATCCAAATATTGATGATATTTCAAGAACGTATTTACTACAATCGGGTCATTTTGACCCGAATTACAGTCTACAACAAAAATAGTACTTCTCGCCGCAACTGAAAAGTACACTAGAATGCGAACGAAAACAAATATCAGATGGATCACTCTGACCCGTTCTTAAAACTTAAGGGTTAAATTACTGAAAATAATGAATTTCCATCGATATTTTTTGCTTACTTTCAAAGAAATTTTAACTATTTGCATTTTATATCAGTATGCAAAATAATCATTTTCATTTTATCAATTTCGATTTTGTTTAAATCTAAGTAAGTGCAAATTAAAGAGTTTAGATTTTAGTATAATTTTATGTCAATTAGCTGAATTTGGATTTTCTTAAGAATTTCTTGTTATTCAAATATGTGTATGTTTTTTAAGTTTTGAAATTACTTTTTTTTAAATTGCTCAACTTTGTTTTGAATTAATTTGTATTAAGTTAAAGTAACTTAGTGCTATGATACAGATTTGCTGAATTTATAAAAAAAAAAATAGATTTTTTTAAATTAATTTGTAAAAATTATTCATATTCAGTTTTAATTGTGTAAATTTGTTAAGAGTTAATACATTAATTACGATAAGTCTAGGTACAATGCCTCGGGGTACTCCAAACAATAAAATATAAATGATTACTTATTTTTTTTTTGTAACACCTGCATTTAATTTATTATAAAACTGTAATTATACAGACATTTTATAACATCATTTCTTTGCATACACTTGCCAAATGTTTCTTTGGTAAAGTGCCTAATAAAATTTAACGCATTTTTTTTATGAAATAGAAGGAAATGAACAGGATGAAGATTTAATTAATTATTAATTTAATTGTTTTTATATAATTAGTTTTTTATATGATAATGCAATGTAATAGTGCAGCTGTCGAAATCCTTCTATTTTCATAATTAAATTTTACCTTCGTGTTACAGGTATCATATACATACATCATTCTTCATAATTTTTTTTTTCCATTTCTTCATCGTCACAAATGCATTTTCGTATTAATGGAATTGTTAACGAGAAACGTTGAAAAAAAAAAACATCAAAAAAGGGACAGTTAAGAACAAACAACTACGTGAAATAAAAAAAAATAAAAACAAGAACGCGCCGCGCACTCTGGATGTTCGTTCTTTTGATTGATGCCCTCCTCCATCCGTGCGTCTCAGGTGTTAAATTCCTTTTAATACGTACACTGTAACAGTAATGATTATTTAGTGCGCGTTAGCCTTAATGGGGTGTATCATTATGTGCGTAATTAATGGTCCAAATTCTGGCTATTCTCATTTCGAAACTTTTATTGTTATTGGGTAATTAAGGTGGAAATGGTGTAAAAAGAATACAGAGATAAAGACAGTTAAATAATAAAAAAAAAAAAGATAGATAGATAGAGAAGGGCGGAAGAGACGGAAGTGAGGAATCATATTTTATTCTTTTCCGTCTCCGGGAGTTGCGGCCCCTTCTACAAACCACGCATGGATAACTCGAGAGAGAAAACGGACAAAGAAAACACCCCAACTTCGAATGCCACCCACGCTAATTGGGTCAGCAGGTCTAACACCCTTCGTCAATTACACACCTGTTACCGTTAACTATTCGAAAAGAGATAGAGAAGACGACGATTCAAAGAAAATACGTTACAATTTGCATTGTAACACTTTGTAAACACTAAAATATATCATGTGGATATTACGTAATATTATAGGTTAGATAAAGTTGGGTTAGGTTTAAAAACAAATTTATACTCCACGTTTTCTCATATTACTCGAGAACCACGCAATACAATCATAAGTGTGAATACTCTAATTAAAACCAAATATATTGGTTTCAATTTTACTATAATTCTAGATTTGTTGCCATTAAATGCCTCTAAATGTATTGAATTAAAATTTTAATCTTTACTTTTGCGTACTTCTGGTCTAATTATTCTTTGTTTATTGTTCTTATAATAGTAATGATATATGAATTTAGTAAATGAGAATGTTGAAAACGTTATTCAACCCTTTGTATGTTTTTTTTTTGTCGAATTGTAAATAGGAAATAATAATTGCGCATTGAAAACCATTGGCAAACTCTGCAAATGCATTTTGCGTATCATTTATCGATTTATTGATGCCGCATTAAAACGCACGCACGAAATGGATTAATACGTTCACCCCCCAGGGAGCATCTGTTTTACGTGTGTGTATGTGTGTGTACATGTGTGAGTGTTTTTAATTCACTATTCCATTTATCCCCGAAATGTAAATGAAATGGCCGTAAACGCTTCGTTTAATCCCCAACAATACACTGTATACACCGATGTTGTCGAAATATACGTAGTTGAAAGGAAAGTGATTAGCTTTAGTGTGGACGATGAGGCTTTTGCACTGACAATGGGCGCTGCGGACAGGTAAAAATCTTTGCATTCGACGTGTTCCTCGTCCCATCGCACGCATTAACCAAAACAACCCCAATAGATCTGCAAAACAACCGTGGTGATTAGCCAATCTTCGAGATGTTAATCAAAGCTAATTCCTGTGAATTCCACTATTACAACTTTACTACAAGCACGAACGTGTCTTCTCCCAAGTTTCCTTAATTCATCAACTTTCTCCTACAGATTCTAAATTTATATTTCCTAAAACATCTGTGAAAGTATTAACACAAATTGTTAAGTTTTTTTTTCCAACTAAATTTAACAGTTTGTAATTTAAATCTACATTTATAAACACTGTTAAAAATACGATAAAGAAGCATTACTATTTAATTTTAACGCCATTTTACTTACATTATATAACATTAATGTAAGTAAATTCGAATTAGTGTAATCTGTATTATCTAAATTGAAATGTTTAAAATAACTCTGCAAATTTTTTTGTGTAAATGAAATCAAGAAAAGATGTCTTAAAAGAAAGTTTATTGTTCAAAGTTTCAAATGTCATAAAAGAAACATTACTACTTATTATTAATGTTTAAAATAACTCTACAAAAGTTTTCTGGAAAATAAATTCAAAAAAATCTCATAAAAGAAACTTTTCTGTTATTACACGAATTCAATTGAAAACTGACATAACCTTAATGTAAGTAAAATGACGTTAATATTAAATAGTAATGCTTCTTTTATGACTTTGAAACTTTGAATTTGTTTGAATATTTAACAAGAAAATTTATTTTCTTGAATTTATTTACCAGAAAATTTTGTAGAGTTATTTTAAACATTTGTAATAAATTTAGAAAAT